AACCTGTAACCTGTATTAACATCACTGGTCATCTCAGATGTACCAGATTATCATTCTCAACCTTAGGACTAATTTATTCTTGAGGTAAACCCTCCAGAGCCTTCTGTACCCATTTTTACAGCTGACCTAGGTATCACTATAGCAGAACCAATACTTGCGATTAGGGCTAACCATTAAACTGCTATGCCCTTGTAGAGTTCACTTAGATCCCAGCATCTACTTCACAGCATAACTCTAGTACTTTAGTATACCTCTGACTTTTTTTCTGTCTTTTTACCAAACTCCCAATCCAAATAGCTCATGTAGGACTACAACTAGTCTATTGGTATATCAGGTTGGCCTGATATCCTTTTCCTCCAGTTCGTTCTGATGGCCTGGTTGGTAGTACCTCTAAGACTTTCAACCTGGAGGTTTTTGCCCATCTGGCTACTAGGACTGGGTACTAGACCTGGGTATCTATTTTCCCAAGCTAGCCTTTACAGTAGGGCCATCAAAGATCCAGCTACCTCTCTACTCGGGTCTTCTCAAATGGACTTCTTGTTACCTAATTTCAACAAATTTACACAGCCACAAGGACTTATCTAGTGTTGCACTACCCAATTTGCCAGTTTGCATTCCTCTGTGTAACTCCAACATTGCACAGATGCCTTATGACCTGCCAGTCATACTGGTGTGACTGCCATTACAGGTATCCTAACCTAATCATTAGTAATAGTTGCCATAATATGAATATTATATAGGTGATTATTCAAATTTTCACCATCGATGGGATTTGAACACCCAACCTACCACTTAGAGGATTGACAACCTGACCACTTCATTAGGTCACCACACCATTAGTTTTGAAATATTTATTAAAAACTTTGAATTCTATAATTTATTGCAGTAGTAATATATTGCCAGTCCCTATAAATTATATGATTATATCAGATTTTATAATACAAATTTTAAAAATTTTAAATTAAATTTTATAATTTATTACAATAGCAATATATCACCTACTAATAAAACTAAAAAATTAGATATAAAATAATTAATATAGCAATTTGCATTACAAAAACATCTAATTTTATTAGCCAATTAGCAAACTGGCAATATATTACTACAGTGATAAATTGTGAATTCTTTAAAAGAAAAAAAATTGTAAAATTTAATTACTATTATGCATTTCAAATATAAGCAAAATAAAATAAATACAGGATCACTCTCTTCTGACTACTTGTGTTTAGAATTGAGAGTAATTTAGAAGTGACAAAATTTACTTATTTAAGTGTTTTTTTTTTTTTAAAAACAGTATCAGAACAGGATTACTTCTTCTTGTTTCTAAGAAATGTAATATTTCAATTATTGAAGTTCACAAATATAAGAAAATTAAGTTTACTAACTATTTTAATATAAAAAAACTTCTTGCATACAACAAAAAAGACAAGGGTGTGGCAACTTAGTGAAGTGGATAAGTTGTCATTCCCCCAAGTGGTAGGTTGTGAGTTCAAAACCCACTGACGGCAAAATTTGGATAATCACCTATGTAATATATAGACAGTATTACGGTGATGGCATTCTGTCGATCAGTTGGAATAGGATACCTGTAACGATGATCGCACCAGCATGACTGGCAGGTTTGGGGTATCTGTGTAACCTATTACACAGAGGAATGCAAACCGGTACTGGGTGGTGCAAACCTAAAATAAGTCTTCGGGCTGTATAAATCTATAGAACTGGGAAGCTGGAGCCTACTTGAAAATTCTGAGCAGAGAGGTAACACAGATCTTTGATGGTACTACTGTAAAGGCTAGACCTAGATAATGGATACTAATATGAAGGATTCGGGTGAGCAAGAACCTCAGGTAAGAGGTATTACCAATCAGGCTGCTGGATTTTAGACCAGAGGAAAAGGATATTGGGCTGGCCTTAATATACCAAGAACAGGTCACAGTCCTTCCGGGCTATCTGGATTGGGAGTCTTGGTTCAAAGCAGAGATATACTAAAAGTACTAGTGAAGTCAGTACTAGGATCTGGGTGAACTCTGCAAGGATAGTTTGTGTTAGTGTTCTAAAAGTAAGTAGATAGTTAATAACAAGGGCCCTCTGTGCCTTACTAGCAGGTAACATACTCTGAAATGTGTAATGGCCTAGGAACCAGTACAAAAAGAATAAGTACCATACTGCTCAGACAGTATACTGATTAGGTATACATATATGGGAGGTTAGTTGGGGATTCCAATATGACAGGGCAGATGATCAGAAGGTTTAAATGAATAATCTCCTAGTAGGTTATAAATACAGCACCTAGTGTAGAACCTTAGGGTGGACTACTTAAATAGGCAACCAAAAGTTGCATATGTGACTAGCTGTACTCCTATCTTTGTAAAAATAGTTGTAATAGCTAACTCAATATAAAGTTAATATAGTATCACCACAAGTATAGCCTTTAATACAAAAAAAAAAAAACAAAAAAAAACAAAAAAGACTTTTACTCTAAAAAGAATACTATAATAATAAATAGTAATCCAATAGCTTTAGTAGTTTTTGTATAACAGAATACTAATGGCAATAGTATACTTAGTTAGAATGAACAAGTCTCACTAAAAAACATAAAAGGTTTCTTTGAAAGAAGAGAAGACCAAAACAATAAACTAGATGTATTTGTTTATAAAATATGTAACAAAAAATCTAACAACAATAAAAACTCAATACCAACAACAACAATATGTATAAACCTATACAAGATGCCATTAAATAATTTAAGCTTAACTAAAGTAAACAAAAGCAAAAAAACTTTAAACAAAACTTAAACATGTCTTTTTGCTAAAGTTAAAAGAAAACAGTTAACTTTTCTTCTTTTTCACCAAGAAATAATATAAAATCAAGAAATAATAATGCTTTTATTTTAGATATTCAATATCTAACAGGCTTATTAAATGAAATCATAGTTTTACTTTATGAAACCACAGGATGTAATATAATTACAGCTAAGCTACATATTAATAAAGGTGCATATACTTATTTAGAATTAGTATTTTTAAATAAAAAAAAACTGAAGCATTATGCTTTTAAAGAAATATAACTTTTTAATAAAACATATTATAGGAGGTGTGGCGACCTAGTGAAGTGGTCAGGTTGTCAACCTCCTAAGTGGTAGGTTGGGTGTTTAAATCCCATCGACAGTGAAAATTTGGATAATCACCTATGTAATCTGGTATTACAGCAACTGTTCCTAATGATTGGGTTAAGATATCTGTAATTATGGTCGCACCAGCATGACTGGCAGGTCATGGGGCATCTGTGTAACTTGTTACACAAAAAAATGCAAACTGACAAATCGGGCGGTGCAAACTCAAGATAAGTCCTTGTGGCCATGTAAATCTGTAGAAATTGGTGAACAAGAAGCCCATTTGGGAAGACCCGAGTAGAGAGGTAACATGGATCTTCGACGGTACCACTGTAAAGGCTAGATCTAAGAAACGGATACCAATGCTGAAGTAGCCAGATGGGCAAGAACCTCTGGGTTGGGAGTCTCAGAAGTATCACCAACCAGGCTGCCGGATCAGACCAGAGAAAAAGGATATCGGGCTGACCTGATATACCGATAGACTGGTCATAGTCCTACATGGGCTATCTGGATTGGGAGTTTGGTAAAAGAAGCAGAGGTATACTAAAGTACTAGGGATATGCTGTGAAGTAAGTACTGGGGTCTGTGTGAACTCTACAAGGGCATAGCAGTTTAACAGTTAGCCCTGACTGCAAGTGTTGGTTCTGCTATAGTGATATCTGGGTCAGCTGCAAAAATGAGTAAACAGCAGGCTCCGGAAGGTTTACTTCGAGGATAACTGTTCTAAGGTTGAGATGAAGGATCTAGGCTTGACCTGGTGAAGTAATATGAGACAGGTTCAGAAGGTTTAAATGAAACATCCAAGCAGGGGTATTAGGTACGGCAATTGGTAGAGAACATTAGGCGGACTCCTTAAATAGTTAATATAGAAAGTTACATGAGTAGCCGATTGTACACTCTTCCTGTAGTAGCTCCTTATGGAACTACATTTCTAAAAATATGTTAATAAAGTCGAAAGACCGAAGAGGTCACCTTAACACTGAAAAAAAATAAATAAATAAATAAACATATATAAGGTAATCATATCTAATTCTGTGAATCATACCTAATTCTGTGGATAACACATTCTAACCTTTTATAGCCTTATTGTTAGTTAAATATTTGTAACATACATATTAAAGTTTGTTACATGCTATATATATATATTTATAAGACTATTAATGAACAATTTTTTTTCTCATAAATTGATTTTACCTTTATTTTCAAATTATTGTTTTGTAATATTTAAAAAACTAAACTTTTATCACATTAAAATTTTGACGAAACTGATAAAAAAAAATAAAATAGAATTTTATAGCTTTTTATTTTTTTTTATTTTAAGTAGTAATGGAACTCACAAAAGATATTAAGTCTGAAAAACATGTGTTTTTTATTTGAGATTCTTTATAAAACCTTTATTAAAAATTTTCTTCAATTTACTATACAATTTTATATTAAATTAAAGTTTACTTGAATTAGCCAGTCAACATGATTGTGTACAAATTTAAATCCTTTAAAAATTTTTTTCTTGTTTTTATAGTTTTTTGTGTTTTTTGTTGTATTTATAACACAAGTTTTATTTTGCTTGTACTTGCACGAATATAATATGAATCAAGTAATATTGACAAAAAAATTAACAAAAAAATATACAAACTTCCATCAAACTTCTATCCAAGCGGTCTTAAATTTTCTTGAAACACAAAAAAAAACTAGTTCAGCTCCATCTTTAAGTATTTGTCAAGTTGCTTTAAAATATGAAGTTGCCGAACAAACACTATGTGATGCTATAGCTAAAGGTTCACTAAAATATCCAGGTTCTTCTATATTACTTATAGCTGAAGAAGAAAATGAGTTAGTAGGGTATTGTTTAAATATGCAAAGTCTAGGGTTTAAACTAACTAAAGAGGCCATTAATACAATAGTTGTTCAAATGCTTGCTACAAAAAATAAAAAAAATTTAACTAAAAATGGGCCTAGTAACAAATGATGAAAATAATTTTTGTATGATCATCCACAAATTTCATTTCGTGTACCTTAAGAGCTTACTAAAGCATGAGCTGCTAAAGCCAATCCGATTGTTATTCAAAATCATTTTGCAACACTTGAAAAACTTATTTATGAAAACTGTCTTACACCTGACAGAATTTGGAACATAGATGAAAGCAGGTTTAATATCTTTGCACAGTTAGCAAAAGTAATAGTTCAAAAAGGCATTCAGCAAATTCACAAAACTGCAGCTGGAAACTCAAAAGAGCATATATCTATTTGCTCTACTATTTTAGCAGCTGAAATGTATATTCTCCCATTACTTATTTACAAAGGTGTTAAAGTAAATAAAGGTTTATTAATAAGTGTATTAGTTCTACCAGGTACCATCACTGCATTTACTAAAACTGGATATATGCACAAAGATATTTTTAGAATGTATATAAAGCACTTTAGTAATTCAATTTTCCCTACTCACTCTGTCTTGCTTATACTTGATAGAGCTACTAGTTATATAGATTTACTAGTATTAAATATTGTCAAAAAAACAATATTTTTCTTTATATATTGCCATCAAATACTACTTATATACTTCAACCATCTGAGATTCCTTTTAAAAAACTTAAATCCAAATACGACAAAGCATCAGATCATTATCATATTAATAATAATCTTGGAGTAGTTACAAAATATTTATTCATTTAAGTTTTTGGTGAAGCATTTCATGAAATATATACACCAAACGTGATTAGACATGCATTCATTGCAACTGGCATTTGGCCTCTGAATTCTGATGTAATTAACTCTGAATGTTTAATGCTTTTATTAGCAATGTTTCAATCAGTTATTTCTTCTCCAAAACCAACTCATGAATGCAATACAAGAAATAATAGACTTATACAGCTTGAAAATAAAAATAAAGAATTGAGCGAATATATTCAACAATTAGAGCATCCTAGGACAACTTCTTTGGCTTCGATTATGAAGTATCCATAACTATAGCAACAACCTGTTGAGAAAAACCCCAAGCCTAATCCAAGACATTCAAATTTGAAACTCTGGTAACTGCTAAATTGATTATTAAAAAACTAGAAGAAAAAGAAAACTTGAAATGAAGAAAAATTGAAGATGCAAAAGTAAGAAAAAAATAGCAGATTCTTAATAAGATGAAAAAATAAAGTAAAAAATAATGCAAAAGTAAATATATTATTGAAGGACAATATATTTTAAATACCTTTTAATATCTTGTTTTTAAATAGCCCTTCGAACTGTAAAAATAAATAAATAAAATCGATTTTTATTATGAAGTATAACTAAGTACTTATAAAGCACTTGCTAATTACTTAAAAAATACTTATTTTAATTACTTGTTTAATAAGTTTCAATATACTTTATATTTCGTAAGCATTAGCATTTTATTATAATTAAATAATGCTAATACTAAATATAATTTTAATATTTATTTAAAGTGCTTATAATATATTTATTAATAATATTAATTTTATATATATATAAAGTTACAAATATAATGTTTAAATAAACTACTTACAGTATACTTATTAATAATATTAATTTTATATATAATAAAATTGTGAATATAATGTTTAAATAAAATGCTTACAATATATTTATTAATAATATTAATTTTTATATAAAAAAATTACAAATATAATGCTTAAATAAACTGCTTATAATATATTTATTAATAATATTAATTTTATAAATAATTAAATTACAAATATAATGCTTAAATAAAATGCTTAAAATATATTTATTAATAATACTAATTTTTTAAATAATAAAATTACAAATATAATGATTAAATAAAATGCTTAAAATATACTTATCAATTATATAATTTATTCTCCAAATAGAACTTCAAACAAATTTGAATATCTTTACAAATAACTTGTCCTATGATGCAATTTTTTCTTGTTGTTACTTCCTTTATTGCTTTCTGGCTCAGCTATTCGATGTGAATAAGGTAACTTTTTAACAGTAGAGTATGATAAAAGAATATTAAAATTGGTCCTAATAACTGTGATCAACTTAGTTGAATTATAAATTAGCATCTATCATCAAGGATAAAGACAGTGATATGATTTAATTCAATACTTCTCAGCTATCTACAGCCTATGTGATCACCTACAATTAGTTAATCGAATAGGAAAAAAAAAAGTCAAGTATAGTATAACTTCATAAAGTTAAAACAAGCATTCATTGAAAATATAAATATCTAAACAACGTTAATCATAAATGACCAAGACTCATAAAGATTTCTAAAAGATCTAATTTATAGTGGGTATAAAAAATAGATTGATAACTTAGATCTTGATTTGGTACAGTATTTACAAAGATCAGTATAATAAAAGTGACTAACTCATATGATACCTAGAGATTTTAAATATAGCTCAGCATTATGTAATATTAAATCGGTCTGTAATGTAGATCTAGATACCTTAATTGCACTATAAGAATAAGATGGAATACGGAATGAAAAGATAAGTCATTTATTTATTATCAAATCTATCTGAATGATGAAAGCTATTAAAATAAATAATCATTAATATTGATATCAGAATAGAATATAATGACATATAAGGCATTCATTCATCATCAAAAGCCCATCAAGATAAGTGGAAACATCATAATTTTGGATATCGATATTAATATTGACATTCTTCGTTATCAAAAGATATGCCAAGATGGGAAATTCTAATAAAATAAATAACTTTAGATATTAGTATCAAATAGAATAAAATGAAAAAATAATTATTTTATTTTACACTTTTCATGATCTCACACTTGTATTATAAATATTCTATGTATAAAATTCATCTCTTAAAACATCTTTCACATAACAATGTTTCTAGCTATAATTTGATCAAGAATGTCGCACATCAGAAAATCTTTTAAATGTAGTGATTGATAATTTTGCTATCACCTTTTTGGTACATGATGGGCTGATAGCTATTTCTATTAATAATAAGGCAGATTGTGATAAACATGCAGAAGAGTCAATGAAAATATTTATATTTGTTCATGGCAACGGTTGAATGGAAATTGGTTTAAAATTTTTACAGTGAGATGTAAGTGTTTGTAATTTTATATTCAATGACAAAGTCTTTTCAGAGGTATAAAAAGGGAATTTTACTTGCTTTCTTTGTTGACTTGAACTTATGTTTTTTCTTGTGTTGTAAATTATTATTACATAAAAAAAAAGTTATCCTACCTATTAGTTAGTAACACAAAAAACTCTTAAATATTTAGTTTTCACTTTAAATAGAGTACTTTAATCTAATAAACAAATCAAATAAGTTAATGGTAATTTTAAAACTGAAGGCAGCTATATACATATCAAATTTTTGTATTCATCTTATTCTTGCATCAGTGTGAATTTTAATTTGTCATTATCTATTGTATTGATAATTTTAATAGTTAGGTTGCAATGCACATTACTCTCTGGCAAGTTATAAAATCTTGCAAATAGTAAGAAAGAAGAAGCCACCTCATTGCATACATAATAGTGTTATAACGAATAAGTAAACAGTTAAATATAGCAAATATAGTTAATATGAAAGATACCTTTTCACTTTAATAAGGATTCAGTTGCGTTCCAAGCTTCTAAACTGTTAATAAAAGTGTTGTGTTCAATATGAAACTTCCCTCGATAATAAAATTTGTTATTCATAAAAATTGTCATTTTTATTGTTCCTGTAATTTTTGATAATAAGCAAACAAGAGTTATGTATTTTGATAATCCAGCCCTTATATAAAATTAATTAAACTTTTGATAATGTAATGTCATTGTTGAAAAAGTCAGATCCTATGATAAGTTGTGATCCTATGACACATTACTCAGAATTATGAATTGAATTATAGAACAGTAAAAAACTACCTAAAAATTAAGGAAAAATTACACTTAATTCCTAATATAGCCGCAATAGGGCCAACACAAACTAATCTCTCATATGCACATACCTCAATTGAAGCATTTTATTTGGGTTTCAAGTTTTGCTCTTATTATATATAAAAAACACTATCATAGCTATACAGCATTATCACTTTTTCAATAATTGAATGTGACCCAAATTCAAGAACAAAGTAATTAAATCAAAAGAATAATAAAATAGAGATTTTAATAATAAATAAAAGCTATATATGATTTGAGTAAAAGTTTTTTAAAGCTGCTAAAGAGATCGTTTGAAATCTTATAATATTAATTTATATTGTATTTTTTACCTTTTAAAATATATACGAAAATTGCCTTACACATAGATGTATCGCATATAGTATAGTATGCAAAAATTTTTTTTAGAATATTCTAGAACAAATTATAAAACCATTCATATTTCAAAAGTTTTCTTATAAACTGCCTTTTGTATTCTACTCCTTACATATAGATAGTTTATATATCATATGTGTCTATATATGCTATACACATTATATACACTATACATACTATACTTACTCTAAAAAAAAACTGGATATCATACACATATTAATTATGTGTGTTATAAATATTATATTACTGTATAATTTCTTATGCTAACTGACATTTATCAGAACAATGCAATTACAAGTATAATAATGTTTATAATCTCTTAGAAGAAAAAAGCAATATAAAAAAGAAATCTTTTTTTAAATTATAATAACAGCATAAAGAAAGCTCTGATATTTGAATATTAAGAAGGCATCACATCATTAATAGCAAAGGCCTTTATGATAGCAATAGGTATATAAATTAGACCGTAGTTCATTCACAACTCTCACGATCTGAAACATTCATCTTTTTAAAACAATAATTTATTTTTTCAACAATCTTACTTGGAACTATGATAATCTCTTTTGTAGAGTTAAGATAGTTAAATACAACGGTCATCCCAAATGCAATAGAATTTTTTTCCATCTTTGGATCTGGAAATGCATGATCAAGTATGAAGTTAAGATATGTATAATTTGGGTTATCATTAACATCAACAGGGCTATTTAATTTTGAATAACATTCTTGTGTGATTTTTAAATATTTGAATCTCTGTTCTTCATCATGGGTTACTTGATGGTTTTCTCTTTTCAGCTTTATGAGTCTCTTAAATTCAACATGAATTGAATCTTTAATATGCTGGACAATATTACTTCTTCCCTGGTGACAGAATTTCTGAGCCTGTTAAAAAGAGAAAGGTGAAAAAATGAAAGCACGAAAGTGAAAGTAAATACAGAAAAAGAGAATATATAAATTAAATATTTTATACTAAATAATTATTATAATTTGTTTACTGGAGTATGAATATGCTTATTGAAAAAATGTTTCCAACTACTATGTTTAATTTTGTTTATAAATTCCTCCCCTTTCATGTCTAACAATGCATCATAACACACTTGCATTAAACGTTTATCACTTGGGTATTTAACCTTTTCAATTAAACCATAAATGGTTTGACTAATAGCATCCTATTATATAAATTTATATAATGTAAAACAAACAGCTGCTATTTGATATATTAATATTATAACAATAATGATTCAATACTTGCATACCTCTATTTATTTGGTATTATTTTCCATTTGCATACCAAAGTCTATGGCTTTCCAGTCTGAATACATTTCGTCAAGCTTTTTTTGTATATCTTGTATCATGGGGATCATTTGCAGCTATACATCGTATATACTTCCAATAGTCGAAGAAAAGTCTAAAGCAATAACAATAAATTATAAAAAGAGAAATAAAGAGTATGAGTATAAAGAAAATATTAAATATAAGCATATTACAAACAACAAATGAGTAATAATTTACAGATCCTCTTTTAAACATTTATATATTCGTTTGCAATTTCATTATCTTTTCATTTTGTATTCGAATTGGCCATTTTATTTTCTGAAATATCATCAATATTCTCATCATCAACCAAATCTGGATCAGATAAAATATTGTTATCATCTAATGTATCTAAGCAGGTTTCGTCTAAATAAGGTTTGTTTAAATGAAGTTCATCTGAATGAGGTTCAACTGAATAAGAATCTACAGCTACATTTTTGGCAACTTGTATATTTGATTCTATCTAAGAACTGCTTGGGCCACTTGAGACATTTGAGCTACTTGCAACATTTGAGGTACTTGAAGTACTTGAGTCACTTGAAATACTTGAGACACTTGGGGTACTTAAAGAGCCTAAAATGTTTCTTTGTTCCTCATTGAGTTCAAGAGAAGGCAAGACATGTTTTGCACCTTTATAATTTGATGCAGATGTTCTTTTCTTCGTACAACCTATTTTTGTGTCTGTAGCATAGATTAATAAATAGAAGCTTTCAATCTAAGGCATTGCATTCACTTTTTTATATAATCAGTCATGACAATATCCAAACACACTTTTTTACCTTGGCACTTGTTTTCTTTATTTTCGTAGAGAATATTAATGATATTAGTGTCAAAATGTTAACAGTCAAAAAGACTAATTGAACTTCTTTATTTAGTTTTGCTTTATATACACATGATTTCAACAATAACATACTTTTGTGCAACACTTTAACTATTTCTTTCTTTGTAATTAATTTATTAAACTTTTTAATTTCCTATCATCATTATGCATTCAGTGATCACAGTACCCATTGTACCCGATCTTACTTATGCCTAATACTACTGCACTATGATTTCCTATCACAACTCGATCACATGATCACGTGAGTTGTTCGATCCATATTTTTGTTTTACCTTCACACTCTTCATTTCATTAAACACTTCACTATCAATCTGTATACCTTTTACAAGTATACAAACTATGCGATAATTAGCTACAAATTTTTCTTTTTTATATAGCTTTTACTATATTTTACTACAACTCAGTAATTATTATATTTGATGCATCATATCGATTATTAATACAAATTAGTAACAAAATTATGCAAGTATTAAATTAAACTTTGTGTGCATAAACTTTACTGATTTAACTACATACATAGTACAGCTGCCAGGCACAGGTTGTGGTTACTTTTTTGATGCAGTTTTGGTTATTGGTTTACTTAGATATTAAGAATACTGTTTATGTAATATGCAGATCAATATATACATGCTTAATATAATTGACTTTTATATAAGTAATCATATAATGCATTATACGTAATATTAAATAAATTATATAATCATAGTAAAAATATAGTACAAAAGTCTTCAATTGATAATTTAATAGTTTTTTTTCTTTCACAAAGTAAAAGTGGTGCATTGGATAAAAATAAGGTGTTAATACTGAACATTAGAAGAATATAAAACATGAAATAAAGGAAATCTTACACTGTAAGTGGTTATTAGTAAGATAAGCAAGTGCTATAATTAGTATGGGTTTAGGCCTATTGGTTATTTATTAATTTGTAGCATTATATTACTATTATGAGTCTTGACAATTATTAGTTTGTAAGATGCCAATGTGTTCTTCTTGTAATAAGTTCTTTGAAAGCCAGCAAGCATTGGGTAATCATATGAAAAAACATTTAGATGACAGTGAAGATAATTTACCTTCATCTAATTAACCGATTTATAGAACTTCCCAAAAATTAATTGAAATAACTACTAAATTTCTTAATGAGCAAAATATGTCTAAAAGACAAAACATATCTGAACAAACTGAAATAAGTAATAAAAGAACACAATTCAAATGCAACTTAGACAATAGTTAAGAAATAGATATTTTGAATATAGATGAACCTAATATAAGAAAAAACCTTAATGTACAACTTTACAACCATAAAAGTGCTTACTTAAATTATAATAAATCTACTGAAGGACAAGACATAGAATTTTTTCGAATTTACTGAAGGACAAGATGTAGAATTTTTTAGTTCAGCAGATAATTTCCAAAGCAGTAACACATCTGATAATGAATACATAATGTCTGATCTGTCAGACACTACAGACATTGATGCTAATGAATATATTGAATATGATCATTTGTTTTCTGGAAAGTCAAAGGATTCTAAAGACATATATTAGGAATTCTCATCAGAGGAATACACTGAATTTATGAATATAGTAACACAGTTCCATGTGCAAAATTCACTTGCAAATATCTTTATAAGATTCTTTAATAAATACTCAAATTGTAACAATTACCCACTTCCAACAACATCACAAGTTGGGAAAACTTTTATTAAAAATCTCAAACTTCTAGGCTTCAGATAGAAAAAAGAAGTTATTTATAAGTATGAAGAGTTAGAATACGTCCTTGAATTCAGAACTGTGCTTGACGAGATACATTAAATCTTACTTAACAAAAGTATTACTGAAAAATTTATATTCAAATTTAAGTTGTTTGTTGATAACGTAAGTAAATATAAATTATCAAAAAAAATAATAATAAATAAATAAATAAATAAATAAAAACCAATTTTTAACCTTTGATTTCATAACTTAAGGTAACTGGTCAGCATCAATATTTAGATATGTATGACTCTGACTGGTAGAAAAATGTAGAGCAAAACATTCCAATTGGAGCATACATTATGCCAATTATCCTTTACTCAGACACTACTCTCTGCGACTATTTAGGAAAAACATCAAGACATCCAGTATTTATGACTCTAGAAAATATTCCTTTGAACTGCCGCAACAAAATAGATGCAAAAATTTTACTTAGCTATATTCCTAGTCTTGAGTATAATAGTATATCTCAAAAGCAGTCATCCCAATTTCAATCAGCAACACATAAACTTTTTTATCATATATTTGCAGCTATGCTTTGACCATTAAAATCTCTAAGCAATACTGGTATTCATCTCTATGTCAATGAAAGTCTCAAATGGTTTTATTCACATTTGGCACTTATAATTTTGGATTGGCCTGAAGCATGTATGTTATGTGCTACTTATGGGTCACCAAATTCACTACATCCATGTCAATTTTGCTTAGTAGATCACGGTAAAATGAATAATATCTATTTAAAAAAAGAAAAGATGGTCATTCAGAATGAGAATACAACTAAGACTTTTTTACGCCAAGATAATAGCAAGAAAATTTCTATACATTATATTAGAAATGCATTGTGGAAGCAACTGTAAATGAATTTAATTTATATAAATAACACTGCCAAAAATTTAAGAATGCCAAATTAAACATTATTAGCAAGACTATCATGTGTTTTTGCAGACATGTATGTCTGTGAAAGCACATGATAGTCTTGCTAATAATGTTGAATTTGGCATTTTTAAATTTTAGTTACTGGTACTAAATATAGTATATTTTTTAATATACAATAATAAATCTATTCATAGGTACTTTAATGTCTACACTATGTGTGTGTGCCAGACCATATGCATCATGTGAATCTTGGGCTTTTTCAGTATCAGTTACAGTTTACTGTTGAGCTATTGAACTTAAATTATGGCAGTGGCCCAACAAGAATTCTTGAGGAACATCTTTTTCAAATTCCTCATTATCCAAATCTTAAGGCTTTTAAAAATGGGTTTGAGAGATTTAATCGGTTAACTGCATTGGAGTATCAAGATTTAATGAGAATAATGATTTTTGTCTTGGACGAGTTAATACCTGACAGAAATCTCAATAAACAATTGTGTGACCTTTACTCATTTTGGATTGACATGTACATTTGGAGTCATCAACCAAAATACACCAGATCAGATCTCAATAAATTCGAGGTATTAATAATAGTCATTCAAAAAAAATAAATAAATAAATACTATCTTAATAAATTAATTAACTTTTTTTTTTTTTTTTTTTAACAGAGATCGATTATCACTTGGAGTGATTTATTTATCAAATTAATGTTAAAATTTTCACGTTCTAATCTAAATTTACCCAAATTACATAGCTGGCAGTATTACTTATTGCTATCAATCAGTCAGTTCAGGTCTCCTAATAGATATACAAGTGAGATGTATGAATTATTATATAAATTTAATGTTAAACAGCCTTATCATATGATAAACAAGCAAAATGTTAATTCACAAATTCAAGCAAGTGTAAGTAATCACAAATGATGTGATATCAGTAAAGAATTGCAAAATGAATAATTTAACAATTTTTAAAATCTTAGGTAACTTGTCAAAACATCTTTGCATCTTTCAAATCAAAGTTTTATTCATGGACTAATAATAACTTATATTGTGGAATCACTTCAAAAAAAGCCATTAAGAAGATAATATAGCATACAATTGATCAAATTATAAATTAGCTAGCAGATATAAATGAATTATGAAGAGATGGTTTTAAACAACTTAAATGCTGTATTTATGACTATCTTCAAGGTGTCAAGAATTGGTCATTACAAGATATAGAGAACAAGACAATCTTTATTGAAGTATTCGAGTTTGCTTATTTAGAAGGCAGTTATAAGGTGGTTATTTGTGTGTCCTCTAATTATTATGGGCAAGCAGCTTTCTCAGATGTCTGTATTGAAATAGATAAATCAGAACAAGATAATTATTTAACAGATAATGGCTTATATTATATGAAGGTACATATTAATTTAAAATAAAAAATAAAAAAAAAAATAAAAATAAAAAACTCTCTCCTGTTCTTCATTTTTTTATAAGTGAAGAACGACCGATATACAAAATAATCAAAAACTCATATAATACATTTACAAAAAAAATAACAAGGGCTAAAACTCTTGTACCCAGAAAATGAAAGCAAGCTTGCTTAGCCATGTCAAGTATTCCAGTTAGTAATCAAAATAGAAAGGTCAA